ATTGTTCACCTGTTAGCTCTCGACCCCTGGGTGTCGGAGTTACGGGTATACTCTGGAACGATTAACCAGGCCGGGTGTGACCTAGAAAGCTCAGCCCGTCTTAGCCTTGGGTTATTGTTGACTTCTCTATAGGCATTGGTTGCTTATGGAAGTTATACCTTAAGTCGGTCCACTACATCAGCACGGCGTGATTGGCCTATGTTCCCATATGCGTCTTAAGCAGACGCAGTACGAGTGAAGTATCGAAAGGGAACGTACTCGGTTACTAACGTAACCTCGGTTCCCTGAGATACGGGAACGAGTACTGCGTTGCTTGCCGTGCTATGTAGCTGCACGACTCAGTCGTCGCTTCAGTCAAAGTAAACCTGAGAATCCTGTGGCGAGCGCCCGCTTATATAACAAGATGCCCCGCCCATTCTGGCGGGCTTTGGCGGGCTTCATCGCCAGAATGAAAAAAGGCTTCAGTTCAGGAGAAAAAAGGCTTTTTCCCATATGCGTCTTAAGCAGTCGCAGTACTCGTTCCCGTATCTCAGGGAACCGAGGTTACGTTAGTAACCGAGTACGTTTCTTTCTTCTGTTGAACACAAAAGAAGATATTTTTGGAGAATGTTGGTAACCAAGCAGTTGACGGCAGCCATTGACTTCCATAGTATTTTTTCTTCCCTACATTGGAAGTCAATGGCTAGTCAGTGGTTAACTGTTTGGTTACCAGCATTCTTCAAAATATCTTTCTTTGTGTTCAACAGAAGAAAGAAACTCATGCAGGTTTGGAGGGTGTGACTTTGCGGGACTTTCATTGGGACTTCAAAGTAGTAGTAGTTCAGTAGATAAATGATCCAATCCAGGGCCTGTATAGTTGTTGGTACTCAGAACACGTCACAGATGGGATTTTTTGTACTCAAGAACTGTAATTCCTTATATCTGTACCATCCTTACCCTGCCTTACATGCTCCCGCTGTGTCGAGGCTTTTGTCCCGCAGTGCTACTAAAACATGGTGGTTCTTTCTCAGTTGCCTCTGAACTGTGTGTTGCAGCCTGGTAGAAAAGTAAAGATTGCTCAAGGGCCTCGCAGCAAATAATTAAACCAATCTATAGTCCCTGCACTGATTTCCTTCCTGCTCCCAATACAGCATTTGTACAAAGCTCATTTGTACTTAGCGCTCTGTTCCCGGGGGTAAAACGGCTGAATGAGAGAATGCCATGAATAACAGATAAACCTGCTTCATCCTCTGTGTACATGAGATATTCGGTGCGGGTGCACATTGTCATGTTCGTTCACTCTCTTTTTACCCTTGTGTGTATTTACTTCATTACTCGTGTTGATTTCCCAAGGTTCTTCCTGTTCTAACCCATGCAACAAATCCTGCGTTGTTTATACTGCTTCTGTGTAAGACAAATCCATGCACACTTGTACACGTCCTAGCAGTTGGGTTAAACAATCCATGTAAGGACTTTTGTTCTCCCCCTCAAGTAAAAAGGTAATAGGAAAATGTCCTCTTGGTTTATAGCTGTTGAAGAAGCCCCTCATGAATACAAAACATGTCAGTAATGTCAGTTTCCTTGCCCTTCTATTTCAGATGGCCAAGTCAGACATCACTTACACATTCCCAGTGCACATTTATTGAATGGTGGCCATGATTTTGCCCGAAGTATGATGTGTTCCTGGTTCATCATCTCTTATTGGTCCTCAAACAGCATTCCTATCAAAGAGTCATAGTTTTAACTAGGACTAGGTATCACCAGCTACCTCACAATACAATTCATATTGCGATACATGTCACGATTCATCTCATTTGTGCAGTTTTCATCACTTTTTCAGGCTAAGAAACACTGGTTTCAGAGTTTACACTTAGTTTTAAATTACCTTCTTTATTAATTCAACACATACACTACAATTCAAAGGTTTGGGGACAGTAAGACATAATAATATATTTAAATATTTTTTGTTTTCAGTAAGGAATATTCATTTTCATTTTTTTATTGAGAATGCATTAAAATGATCAAAAGTGACAATTAAGACATTTATAAAGTCACAAAAGACTTCAATTTAAAAAAAAAAAAACTTTCATGATTTTTTATTTATTTATCATGGTTTACACAAAAATATTAAGCAGCACAAACCATTTTCAACATTGTTCAAAAATTATTTGAAAACCAAATCAGCGTGTTAAAAGGATTTCTGAAGGATCATGTGACAGAAGACTGACATTATGGCTGCTATAAAAAAATTCAGATTTGCCGTCACAGGAATAAATTACACTTATTTATTAAAATATATTAAAATAGAAAAATTGTTATTTTAAATTGTAATAATATTTTACAGTAATACTGTGCTGTTTTTACTATATTTCTGATCAAACAAATGCAGCCTTTGTGAGTTTAAGAAACTTAAAAAAAAAACATTTAAAAATTTACCAACCCCCAATTTTTTTTTTACAGTAGTGTACATAAAAGTATCAGTACAATATATGATTGTTTTTGCTCTGGCATATTCCTAACTATACCTAACCCCCAAATCTGATCGATTGTTAAAATTGTTGTTCTAGGACCATCAAGACTGTTACCTAATAGTCAGTATTGTTTAAAGAAACACCTCATTCTTTTCCAGATGTTGGTGGTTACTTTGAGGCAGGAACACTGGTCAAGTATAATCTGGTACCTGAAGTGGTCGCTGCAGCTTCCAGCCTGGATGAGAAGAGCGTAATCCACAACCTTCCTGTCGAGACCAACCTGACACGTGAAGATCTGACCTTCAGCTTCAGCACCTCCACTTCACCCAGCCTTCTGGTCTATGTCAGCTCGAAAACCCAGGATTACATGGCCGTGGTGCTCCGTCAAAATGGTAACATATTGTTCAGTCAAAAAAGAGGGTTTTTATTGCAGTTCCAAAGAAAAAACATTTTGGGTTCCCCAAAGAATATGTAGATTCCACATTCGACCACTCCAAACAGGTTAACACTTCCTCCATCTTTGAACGGTCAGCGTTTCATCACTCACATTAAAAATGAGTGAGTTTTCCAAGATGCCACAACATTGTGCGGCCTCTGTTTGTAAAAACTGGAAAGATTTAAACTAAAGTCAATATTACAGATTTTTAAACTGTGGTGACTTTTCAATGTTAGCAAAATCACCTCCTGAATTCTATTGCAAAAATAGATATTCATACATGCGTATACGGTTGCAGACGTATAGTCAACTTTCTCTCAAGTGTCAAATCAAGTTTCAAATATGGCGGATGATTTATGTATAGAGGCCCATAGACCAATTTGGAGTAGACGTCACAGTTACATCACTTGCAGCTCTGCGCGCATTGTGGTGGCAGAAAAACACTGGTGGAGTGAAACGTGTAAACTGCATGGAATAAGACAAAAAATGTATCGTTGTGCCTTTGGATGTTAGAATCGTAATGCAAATCATTTTTATAGAATACTGTCATCAAAGTATTTTTATAAAATACTGTCGCCATTTGAAGCTAAACACAGAAGTTTAAACGGACAGACTATAGATGAAACCTGCTATGATTACACTACGTATAAAGCATAAATTTGATTTAAACAGAAGGTCTACATAATATTCACATATGCAGTTCATAGGGAACATATTGTATTAGCCCTACAGTTACAGCATGAAATAGCTTACTATTTAAACCTATAACATGTACCTATTTTATTTCACAATTCTGACTTTTTTTCTCTCAAATGCAAGTGTATGTCTCCTAGTTTTGATTTTATAAGTCAATTTAATTCAACAATTGCAAGTTTGTCAATTCTGAGGGAAAAAAGCCAGAAGTGTGGGATTATAAACTAATGATTCTGAGCCGAGGGGAAAAGAGAGAATGACGAGTTGATTTTTCTTATCAGAATTGTGAGATATAATCTCGAAATTGCGAGAAAAAAAGTCAGAATTTTGAAATATAAACTCAAAATTATTATTTTTTTATTCTTTTATTCTATGGCTTCCATAGACTGCTACTTTAAAACTGTCATTTTCTGCCACCAGATAGACTCCGCCCACAAAAAACATCATCACTGTTTGCAAACACCGAAATTGGTCTATAGAAACAACCGCTAATGAGGCTTCTGTGTATATACAGTAGATCTATGGTTAGAGTTAGCAGAATAATGGAATGTACTTGTAAAGTCAGTAAAATGTCTGTTGGGGGACCATGGTGTGAGATGAACGGTTAAAATCTCATTTGTCCAAACTGTGTATTTAACATCAACAGTGTTGGGCAAGCTACTCTGAAAATGTAATCAAATGACTGATTACTGATTACTCCTTTTAAAAGTAATCACGTTACTGTTCTGATTACTTTATTTCAAAAGTAATTAGTTACATTACTAGTTACGTTACTTTTTTCTCCATTAAATTTATGAAATCCCAGCATACATGCTCCTGATAAATATTTGTTATTAAAGCATCAACATTCACAGAGCACTGTTATTTTTAACTAAAGCAAGCGGCTGCTGCGTGCATGGTTTGGCATGACAGAATGCCAGCAAAGAGCGCTGCATTTATAATCTCTAAAAGACATCTCAGTTCATCGCAATCTCACAAATCTCTGTTATAACACAATAAATATATGCATAATGAATCTTTCATAATGTCTACAATTCGTGTGTTATAATGAGAGGATTCATGAGCACGCACATTTCAGCACTGAATTGCCCAACGCAGCGAACACGTTATAGCCTAAATAGAAATTCTGCATACGCTTGCACCTGTTTATCGTTTATATTTTATATTAGTTCATGTTGCTTTTGTGCAATAGATGAATAACAATTTATTTGTTTTAGATATTTTATGTTTAGATATTTCTATTTTGCGGGAGTCCCGTGAATCATTTTATTCTCCCGCATACCCGCCCGCACCAGCACTCGCCCATCTTGTCCCGCGTCGCGCTCTGTTGCGTCGGGTCCTCTGTTGCGTCAGGTCTCGCTGGAGCAGGTCTCTAAACCACTGGCACTTGACTCGACAGTGCGTGAACTACATCCTTTTTACAAACTCTAGATTATAAAACACTGCATTCTGTCAGCAATGTAACGTGGCAGTAACGTATAAAGACTTCGGCTTGTAACTACTACTCTAATTACTATTTTGAAAATTATAACGCGTTAAATTACTCCGTTACTACAAAAAGTAATCAAATTACAGTAACGCATTACTAAGTACTTTACTTACTTAATTACTGCCCAACACTGAACATCAAATATGTTCTGATTAGCTTTTATTGTGCCGCCTTGCACAGCATTGTTGCTTTCAGATATGAACAGACAAATTGCGAACCTATCGCATCGCACCTGGTTAGTCTTCGTTCATTATTAAGTCCGGATGCTGATGCAATACACACATCTGTGTGTGTCTGTGTGATTGTTCTGCAGCAGTTTTGAAACTGCACTGTAATAATAAAGGAAAATTTATTGCAGCAGGCTGAATTGCTTTTTAAAGTGGAAGTGCAACAGTAAAAGCTAATTATATGACAAATGGCGGAGCGCAGGCAATTACATTCCTGTTTGTTTGGCATAAGCACAACACTGTGATCCTTTTTTTTTTTTTTTAGTTTAATAGTAAAACTCTTCTGGTGTTTAAAGAAAATGACCCTTATTCCCTTCAGGGACAGGTTTTCACATTAAACACAGTGACTCAGATGTACTGTTGTTTAATTTGTAGAGTGGCATTTTCGTTAAACCATAAACTCCATAAAACCCAAAGTGGGCACACAAGACTGGTGATACTTATTCTTTGAATTAAGCTGCCTAAGCCCACATCGAATTTTACTCTGTAGTCTCTGAGCAAATTTATCTTGCTGGCCTTAGCTGTAACCCAAATGAGGTAATATTCTTCCCTGCAGCTTGTAGGGCCATTGTACAGGAGTGTGCAGTAGAGGTGAGTGATGTCAGGGTGCAGAACTGATGCACAATTCTCACTCGCTGAGGCATTCTGCATCCAGAAAGACTGCAGTGCGGTTGAGTTCTGGGTAAATGTGATCTTTATGTCTCACCCTGTTTTACTCAGGTTCCCTGCAGCTGCGGTACAACTTGGGTGGTCTCAGAGAACCCTTCAGTATTGACATTGACCAGAGGAACTTGGCCAATGGGCAGCCCCACACCGTCAACATCTCGCGGGTGGAGAGAGACATAGAAGTGCAGGTGGGAAACACATGAAACTGACCACTCTCAATATTACAGTCAGAAACATTGGTCGAAAGTATTATAATACTTATCCAATAATATAGTAGTTAGCTTTCTCACTTCTAAGGCAGTATTTTAACCGAAATAAAACCTCATAAGGGACTTATTTGAAACACTCTTCATGGGCAACTACTTTGTTAGCAGGTTGTTATCTGTGCCGTACAAATAAATTTGTATGTGAATTGCCCAAAAAAATCTACTAAAGCTCACAATTAATTTTACAGTAAAGGCGGACAGAAGCATGTTGCTATTAGGCATGGGCCGGTATGAGATTTTGACGGTATGATAACCTTAAGCACAAATATCACGGTATTTTTGTTACAGCTCTAAAATGTGTTAATTTTAAATGTCTGGGTAAAAAAAAAACAAAAAAAAACCTGAACACAATATATTTTGAGGAACATACAGAATATTTGGAACAGTACTATTTGTTTATTTTTTCTTTGATTTGTTTCTGAAATGTGGGCTGTCCTGCAGCTTTTGATGTGGATGGTTGATTTGCTGCTAGAGCTACTGCTGCCCTAAAAAGAAGAAAAATAAAGACTGACATCTTTATTTAACCTAAATCTGTAATTACAGTTATTTCATTTTAGTTATATAATTCATATACATATCATTTATATAATTTCATATCATTTATTTATATAATTTCATATACATAATTTGATTTAATAATAACCCAATTTGAAGCAAAAACAGAATGTTCTGACTAGCTTTGTGAAATTGTACTACATGCCTGAACGAAACAAAGAGCAGAAGCTCTGAGTGAGATGAAGATTCACTCTCTGACAGCAGGAGGCGCTGATACAGCGTTACCTTGGTTATCGCAGTAAACACAGCAGAGCTGCGATGAAACACTGCTTTAATGTGAATTATACGAGATGAAAAGAAAATACCATCTAAACG